GAGCGTGGCCTTCTGAGGCTTGCCCTCGATCTTCTTCCGGGTCTTCGGGCGGACGTAGGGGACCAGGCGCGAGACCTCCTGGATGCTGGGCTTCTTGGTATTCTCCGCCCAGACCTGTTGCCACTCCTTTTTGGCCTACTCCGCCGCCTTGTCGCCTGCTGATGCCGCGCGATTCGCGCCGTAGACCGCCGCCGACGCGAACGCCTGCACGTCCGGACCATCAAAGTGGCAAGCAGGGCAGACCAAGGCTTTCTGAATCACAGCCCTCGTCTGAGAGGTCGAGGGGCCTCTTGTCTGACGGGGGTCCCTTTCCATTGAACCCTGAAGGTGACGAGCTGCATTCTTAGTGGTCACAGACACCTGCCCACACGAGATGCAGACGTTGGAAGGAGTGGGTACGCAGGCCAGTTTGCGTATCCGATGCACCCGACGCATGTGATTCATCAGCTTGCTGCGGGACGAGAAAGACCCCATACATTCGCAACCGTCCTCCCTGGTGACACCGTAAACAATCGTGAAGAACCGCATCCTCAAGCGCGCTGGGGTCAGCTTGTGCCACAGCCGTGCCTGTATCTACCCCAGGCGGTGGAACCGCTGCCGAGAAGCAACGGGCCCTGATCTGAGACGCGTCGACCAATACAAACTCAGACATCACCTTCTCATCCTTGAAAAGCCTAAGGTCCCCCGCCAGATACCCCACGACGTCGCCCTCCACGTCTTTCGAGGCGGACACCAAATCGTTTCTGTTCTGCTTAACCCATGGCGACGAGTACTGTGTAGGGAGGCCCTCCACCACTTGGGGTCGAAACCGATCAAGATGTAGCGTGTTAAACAGACAGCGTAAAACTTGAACATGGTTCCGATAATCCTTAGCCCGTCCCTGATAAAGCCGAAGTCGTCGTATCAACATCTCCTTACTGCTAGGTGCTAATTCTTAATGGTGCAGAATGCCTAAGGTTTTCATGCTACGAATCTGGTCATCCTCCCTCGCGCAAGCCTTCCCCGTCGTCGCAATCCTCCCCGTCGCTGCAAATCGTCGGTCCAGTCGGTCATGGTCGGACGGGGAAAGGATGAATGATTCCAGGCCGCTCAAGATGGCGTACTGGGTAAAGCCTATTAGTAGTAACCTCTTGAAGCGATAAGGTATGGGTAATGACCATAGTCCACCTAAGCTTTTGAATGATTCTCTGGCGGCCTGGATACGTCTGGTAACCTCGCGTGACGCCGCCACTCTCGAGACGATGCGGGGTCCAAGCTATCGCGCCGAATCGCAAGCCCTCCCAGACAGCAAGGAGGGATACGAGCGTAACATCTTACGACGGCGATGCCCTCCTGAACTGAAGAAAAACAAACACTCCTGCTTCATGTTCTGACCGTATCCGCACTGACTGAGGCGTTTATTTAGTAGGTCATCAGATACTCTTATCTTGTCTAGCAGACCCTCCAGTGTGGAATCTGCATCTGCAAGCAGTATGTTGTGAAAATCGCCGGAATATTTGATTAGGGACAAATCAGCTCGTACCCCCCCCCCAAGAAGAGATCAGCTCCTTCGCGCATGAGCCTTCCGAAATCGAGTCACGCCCCCAAGTCAAGACGGATCGAGTGGAGGTCGACAGGAACGTCGCAACAATGAAGGGGTTCCCCATCGTACCTCCCTGGCGTGGCTTAACCAGTAAATCCGCCGAACAGGATGGAAGCGCAATATTAGAATGATGAAAGCGTTGCTTACAAACTTCTGCATAATGTCCGTGGCGGTGTAGGTCAACATAATCATCCATGGCCTCGTGAGTAGTGCTAGCGTACGCGTTAGACATGTTCTTGACGCACGTACAGTAAGTTATAGACGCAGCCCGTAACCTCCACGTAGTGTTCATCGAGATCATCACCGCCTCGCCCCTCCTGCCCATGCCCAAGCCCCCATCGCTGTGCAACTCGCCATTTCGGGAAAAGGGCCATATGCCATAATTCCATTTGGGCGGTATTTTCGGTGGCGATTTTTCTTTTCGGGGCTCTGATCATGTACTTGCGAAGCTCTTTAAGGTCGGAGGCTGCCAGCTCGATCGAGTCCGAACGGGTGCAGTCATAGTCGCAACTAGGCCCCTTCCGATCTAATCTCCATTGATCCCAAGAGATTCCCTCCACTAGCAGCCCCCCCGTCTGCTCCAGAACGTTCCCATATTTCAAGCCACTCAGTCGAATTCGGCAGAGCACTACTAGCAAGACGAGCGTCCCGCCTTTCGGGTCCGAACCTGCATCGGGCGGCTCGCCTTGAGACGAACATCGCCTCCGCGGTCCTCAGCCGGCTCCAATATTCAGTGGCCTTCTCGATCAAACGTGCCCGTTGTTGACGCAGGTATTGTCTCCTTTCTCTCTGGAGAATCAACGAGAGCTTGCCTAGCTCCTCCTCCACTTGCTGCACTACCTCCTCCGACTCATCCAACTTCTGTCCTCGGAGTTCGAACCGACAACGCAAGAGATCACGACGGCGCCTACAGTCTTCCCCATGTTCGAACCGTGCAGCCGCGCCCCGAATGAACTGCTTTCCCCCCCTCGATAAGAGCACCTTCCAAGAATTCAAAGATTGTATCTGGAGGTACATGGTCACGCATATAAGCAACATCAGCTCTCGACATCACTTCGTTTAGGTCCCTCATGTAATCCCATCTCCCTGTCCCATTCCTCAAGCCATCCATCATAGTTGTGTAGTTCCACTTTCTCCGCTCCTCAGGGGCACGCCGTAGTCCACCCGTGATAAAAGCGAGGCACAACGACACGGGGAGGTGGTCCTTCGGTGGGGCCCCTCGAATAGGCTGTAGTTCGGCACCCAGACGACGAAGCGGGTGACAGTGTTTAACAAGATGAACCAGACCTTGGGGGATGCATACGTTGTTTGTGCGATTCATGTTGCCCTGGTTGTTAACAAAAGGTGTGCTCGATGCGATGGCTCGTGTTAGCCGCGGACAAGACATGCCGCTCCAGAAGCCCCCGAACACGCTCACCAGCACCTCTAGGTATTTTTCCAATTTGGAAGTTTCAATCGCACTACTGGGAATATCCTGAAAGGCCCCGTTCACCATCTTTCCCCCAGGCCGTCGTTGACATCTGCATTCGTCAGTGGAACACAACGTACAGGAAGACTACTCAAGACCGAGTCCACCCAGGTGTTCAAAATCTCGACGGTTTAGTGGTATCCCGAACGCTTTTTGTTCCGAGACTTGGAGGGGAGAGGTGGATAATACATGCAGATGGCACGCATGTCCGTTTTTTATCGAATCGCCAGGGCCCTGCCAGGAGCCAGCTGAGGACTGCTGCAATCTGTCGCATATTCTCAGCTCGAGAGTGACGTCCTAAGAGAGATCGAGACGCCGCAACTGTTGTTAGAATTCGGAGCCTCACAAGAAGGAGCCTCGAAGAGCAGCTGCCCGCCCACCCGCCGCTGCAGCGCCTGGGCGCCGCGCAGGGGGGCGTCGGCCTTCGTCCCAGCCATCATCGCACTGTCATAGCTTCGGGTCTCATTCAGGATTTCCTCCAACCGATCCCCCGTCGACCACATGGGGTTGTAGCCCAGGACTCGCAAGAACGACTCGGTTATGAACCCCCACCCGAGGAGGGCTCGCGCTGAGGGCACGAGGTAAAGAGAGAACCTGATTGCTGAGGATCTGCCTACCAAGCCCATACAATGTCCCTGAGCCTCTCTGAGCTTGAGGAGGAGGAGGAGGCGGAGATGAGGAGGAGGAGTAGGAGGAGGAGGAACAAGTACTCCCCTGGGCCCCTCGATCGATTCGACCGATCTGCCGTGACGGGGCAGCCTCTGCAGCTCTCGACCCCCTCCGCGGGGTTGGCCCGCCGGGCCTCGGCGGCGTGCGCGCAAGCGCGGGCCCCGGCGCGGCGCGGGCGTTTTCAGGAGCGCTGCGGAGCGAGAGCGAGGGAGAGCGAGAGTTCAGGACTCCCAGATGGGGTCGGAGTAGATGGGGTCAAAGAGTCGCGCCGCATCGCCGATGCATGGACGATGCGGGTCAATGCGGAGTCCCGATTGTCTCCACGCCGACGGCGCCGATGCATCGCCGACGTCGACGATGCATCGCCAGTGCATCACCAATGCATCGGCGATGTATCGGCGATGTTTAGGCGATGCGGCGCGATCCTCCGACCCCATCTACTCCGACCCCATCAAGGAGGCCTCTAGAGAGGAAGCTTTGCTGTCGCTGCGCGCTGGGCCCAGCAGGCAGTGCAGTGGCATCCTGCTGGCTTCATTTGTGAGGAGGAGGAGGAGGCCAGCACGCAGAGGTCAGGCAGGTTCCCTCAGAAGCCGGGCGACGGCTGGCAAACCCGTGGCAGCTAAAACGGAGCTCCGGGAGATTGTTTCTTCTTCCGGGAAGCAGCCCGCTTATTCAGTGCGCTGAGCTTTATCCCGGGAGCTGGTTTTGTTTCTTCCAGGAAGACCGTTTTGGCAGTCACGCATTTGCCAGCCCCTCGCCCAGCTCCCGATTCATGTTTGAGGAGGAGGAGGAGGCTGCCCGAACGCAGAGGTCAGGCATGGTCGCATGCGATCCGAGTCGGTGCGCCAGCTGGGCCCGCGGGTAGCGATTCGATTCGAGTCGGGTCGACTCACTGGCGTCAGCCAGGGCTCGGCAGGAGCCGGGCGCGGCGATCCGGTCTCGGTGGGATTCGGAACGATTCGCCTGCGTTCCGATCCGCTCCAGATCAGTTCCGATTTGGCGATTTGGTTTCACCACCAGAAAGAATTCCGTGCACCAGGGAAGTACCCAAACTCGAGGGTTTTCACGTGTCGGGCCCTGGGAGACACTCGTTCGACAGTGTTTCGACACTGTTTCGGCACTCATCCAGGCGCTCGACATCATTTCTGGGATGTGGTCCTGAAGTGCGATGGGAGCAACGTAAGATTTGATCCAGCTCAGGCCTCGCAGGGAAGCGGGTGAGGCCGAGCGAGCCCGGGCGGATTTGTATCCTGCCGGTTTGCTCGGCCTGTCCCGAGCCAGGACCTGGCCGCCACCCAGGAGAGCCTGCACACCACGCAGAACTCCCTCAGCGACTGCTTTAACGAGGTGGCCGTGGTGAGGACCGCCGGGTTCCTGTCCCCAAAGTGCTCGGGAAGTGCTGCGAGAATTCCACGTCCGACTGAATGTGCAGCTGCCGCTGTTATGACTACGCCCGTTACTACCAGTACTGCGGTCACTTCCACTACGATTCCCACTCCCATTACCACTGCCACTTAACCAATTGCCGACGGGGGGTCCGCAGTTCACGGTGTTATTTCCGTGGGCCAACAGATACGGTCAGACTTTGGTCGTTCGTCGATTTCGTCGTTGCAGTCGCGGTCGTCGCCATCGTCTCGGCCATCGTCGTCGTCGTCGTCGATGTCGCTGTCGTCGTCGCCGTCCTCATCGTCGGCACCGCTTGACATTGCCGTCGTCCCAGGTGCAAAGTTTTTTCATGTTTGGACAACCATGAGCTCCATTGGATATCATTTCGAGTGTGTTTGTGTTTTTGCGAGAATCCCGTTGCTCACATGAGTTGTTCCTCTGTTTTCTTGTGCAGGAGCTTCGGGGAGCCAATTTGTCAGTGATGAATTGGTTCTTGTTTCTGACGAGCAAATGGCTCCCGCTGAGCTCTCACAACACAAATTTGATCCACTGAGCTCTGACAAGTGCTGTGATGATACGGGGGAGGGGTGGCCCATGCTAGATCAGAGGTACAGGCATCCTTGGCCCCAGAGGACTTTGTTAGGCCTGCGGAAGTTGGGTTTTTCCCTGCGTCTCCGCCGCCAGCACATTTGACGTTTTCACCTCGTTGTCGATCAGGTCGCCCTGGCCGCCGACTTCGGCGTCGCCACCGCCATCGTTGTCGCCGTTGATGTCGTCGCCGCCTTCGACATTGCCATCGTCGTCGCCTCGGCGACGCCGCCGACGGCGACGAGGGCGGCGACGCGGATGGCGACGACGACGACGTCGGTGGTGGTCCTTTTGTCTTTGTGGTTGATCTTCTCCCCGAGCAGTGCATGTACTAACTCACATGCAACTCCTGGGGGGTCAAATTCTGACTTTGCCCTGGTCCGAAATCCAGGTTAATCCCGCTTAGTCCCGCAGAATCTTGGTTAATCCCGCAAAATCTGGCACAATTCCGTTTAGCCCGCGGCCTCATGCAGTCGTCGTCGTCGTTGTAGTAGCCGTGGTGGGAGTAGAAGTAGTAGACATCGCGCTTGGTAGCAGTAGTTGTAGTAGTAGCAGGAGTAGTAGTGGCAGTAGTAGCCCGAGTAGTAGTAGTAGTAGTAGTAGTAGTAATACTTCGTCGTCGTCGTAGTCGTGGTCATAGTAGTAACCGTAGTTGTCGTTGTAGTAGTAGTCGTAGTAGTAGTAGTAGTAGTAGTAGTAGTAGTAGTAGTAGTAGTAGTAGTAGAAGTCGTAGTAGTAGTGGTAGTAGTAGTCGTGGTAGTAGTAGTAGTTGTAGTCGTAGTCGTAGTCGTAGTAGCAGCAGGAATCTTCTATACATACATCAGTAGCAGTAGAAGTTTTGGTAATAGTAGTAGGAAAAGCAGAAGGAGTAGTAGTAGTAGTAGTAGTAGTAGTAGCAGTCGTAGTATAGTAGTAGCAGTAGTAGTAGTAGTAGTAGTGGCAGTAGTAGTAGTAGTAGTAGTAGTAGTGGTGGTAGTAGTATTCGTAGTAAGTCTTAGTCGTAGTCGCAGTCGCACTTGTAGTCGTAGTAGTAGTCGTAGTCGTAGCCGTAGTCGCCCTTTCAGTAGCAGTAGTAGCAGTAGTAGTAGTAGTAGTAGTAGTAGTAGTCGTAGTAGTAGTAGTAGTAGTAGTAGTAGTAGTAGTAGGAGCAGTATCAGCAGTAGTAGCTGTAGTAGTAGTAGTTGTCGTAGTAGTAGTAGTGGTAGTAGTAGTAGTGGTTTTAGTCGTAGTAGTAGTAGTAGTAGTAGTAGTAGTAGTAGAGTAGTAGTAGTAGTAGTAGTAGTAGTAGTAGTAGTAGTAGTAGTAGTAGTAGTAGCAGTAGTAGTAGTAGTAGCAGTAGTTGTACTAGTCGAAGTAGTAGTAGTAGTAGTAGAAGAAGTAGTAGTAGTAGTAGTAGTAGCTGTAGTAGTGGCAGTAGTAGTGGTAGTGGTAGTGGTAGTAGTAGCACTAGTCGTAGTAGTAGTAGTAGTAGTAGTAGTAGCACAAGTAGTAGTAGTAGTAGTAGTAGTAGCAGCAGTAGTAGTAGTAGTAGTGGTAGCAGTAGAAATAATAATAATCATAGTAGTATTGTTGTCGTAGTCGTAGTAGTAGTAGTTGTAGTAATGGTAGTCGTAGTGGTAGCAGTAGTGCGAGTAGTATCAATCATTCGGGGTAGTAGTGGTAGTAGTTGTAGGGATAAGTACTATAGTGGCAGTAAAGAATCGTACGCGCCGCAGTAGTTGTAGTAGTCGTCGCAGTCGTAGATGCACCTTCGCTCGTAGTAGTACTAGCCGTAGCAATCGCATTGGTAGTCGTAGTCGGTGTAGCA